TCGTGTCTGATGCAATATTTGAAGAAATTTGTTCCAGTATTGAAGGGAATATTTGAAATATTCGATTTAATTTATTACTCTTTATTCTTCGAAAATTGGATTGGAAACTGGAGGAGCTTGTTGTATCTCAGATCCGATACGTTGTTGGAGGAAGGATTAAATTTTGAAGAGATCTTACACTTTGAAGAGAAGTCGGTGCAGTTTGAAAATTAGAAGAGGAAGTTGTTGGATAAGTACGAGTTTGAAATGGAAGAATCAAACAGACGAGATTGTATAATATATCTCGAATTCATCTCGCGTAATTCTTTCTAAAAGGAACTAAAGATTTTTACTTTTAGACGGAGCGAATCGTGTATGCATGTTTGAAAAGAAATTGAAGCAAGAAAAATTAATTTCGAGATGTTGAACGTTACTTCATTTGTGAATATGAATATGTTATAAAAGAAAATATTTTTGGAGCATGCTGGTATCGAATTAATTATCATTTGTTGCGTGGGAAAAGGATTGATATATGAGATACTTAACAAGTTGGAGGAACTTTGAAATGGAAGAATTAAATTTTCAACCAGAATTAGTTGAGCTTCGTTGTATAAAATTCATCGGTGAGAAGGGGGGAGGATGTATTGAGGATTTTCGAAGAATATTATTTTTTCACTTGCTAATAACACGAAAACTAGTTTGGCTTTTTGAATATGGAACGTTTCATTATACTGGAAGCGATTTAATAATAAATTTATTTTTAGTTTATCGATTTTCACGATACCTCGAGTTATAAAATAAAAGTGACCAGTGTTTGTTGCATGAAAAAGTTAAAAATATATTTCTCGAGAGTGTTTTATATATATATACTTAACTCGAATTAAAATAGAAATCATAGTTTCGAATATGGAGAATTTAACAATGTTCGAATGAAAACGAATCAGTTATACTCGTTAAAAAAAAAAAAAAATTAACATAAGATATAATACAACGATAAAGATTCTTTTTTTTTTTTTTTTTTTTAATATCTTCCATCATCAACATGCGTCGAGAGGATACGAATCGATCTCTTTTGAGAAAATAAAAAAAAATAAAAAAAAGAAAAAGAAAGGCTGACTAAATCTCGAAAAGATAAATATATCCAGCTTAGAAAGGAGCTTAGCATCCCGAATAGAATTAATGAGAAGAATCAATATTGGGATAAAATATGAATATGCAAAGATGATCTCTTGGCAATTCTGTATCACGAAAAAAGTAGGTTGAATAATTTAAAGAGAGGCATAAAGGAGTTATTCTGTTCCGTGTAATTTTATTGATCTTCTGAATCACGAAAAATTGCATCCAACAATATATCCAAAAAACGTAATTAAAAGAAAAATGTAAAATTTTAAAAAATTAAATTTAAATTTTATATTATAAAAATGATAAATATATTAAAAAAAAAAAGAATAGAATAGAAAAATTCCAATTTTTGGCTAGTTTTTGCAATGTTTATTAACCTTCGGTTCAATCGAACCAGATCACTTTTGATCCGTTCCATTTCTCGCTGAAAAAATGAGATTTAGTATTTACAAACCTCGGATATGGGTCAAAAATAACTAACATCATTTTTCGATCGACGATACGAAGTTTAAATATATTTATAATCTTCCAAGACTAATATTCTTCCAAGAATAATATTCTAAACAATCGAATTTCATTAAATATATTAAAAATAGAATAGCAAAATTTCAATTTGAATTCTTGTCAAAAATATTTTTATACTTTTTTTTTTTTTCAAGAACATAACAAAACTTGAAATTTTCTCCCACATGTTTTATTAAACATCTCCAACATATTCTTCTTCTTCTTTTTCCTCTTCTTCTTCTCTCAAGAATCAAATAATTCTATATCTTTGTTTCTAAGAAGTAAAACTTTGGGGATAAGGAATAAGTTTTACTAAGAGAAAAAAAAAAAAGATTCCTTATACCGTTAGCAACTTTCTTACACGGGAAATATGGCGAGCTTTCCGGGAAGATATGTCGCCACGTAATGCAGTTTGCAAGAATCCTGGCTTACGTAAGTACGTCCCAGGAACGGTAGGCATGGAGAGAGACAAAGCAATGTCGAAGGTCCATTAAAGGAGCCATAAGAGGGGAGACTAGCCGCAAAGGAACGAGAACGCATTCTTCTCAATTCGAGAACGGAATCCTCCCTCGAACCGAGGAAAAATATTCTTTCACGCGGGAACTGGTGTATTTATTTCTCTCTCCGTTGAGAGAAATAAATAATAGAGACTCGAAGCACTCGACGAAAACTTTCTAAACAAAATCGTAAAGTGTTAAAAAAAAAAAAATCATGAAGTATTAAAAAAAAAAAGAAGAAAAGAAAAAAAAGAAAAAAAATTCAAATATCGTAAGTGGTAAATTAGTTTTGATCGTTCGAAAGTCGTTTCTATATTTGTATGCAGAGGGATATTTCGTGAGAAACGAATGTAAAAATTCAATTTCGTCGCATTCATTTCTTGAATAATTCTATGATGGAATAAAATTTATATTTTCTAATAATGAATCTTGAAGATGATATTTTATATTCGTATCACGTAGAACGATAATGCTCCCTTTTAAGTGGAATATTCGCTTACATACAATTATGTGGGGGGAAAAAAAAAGTATGAAAGGTATGGAAATTATTTAAAAAGGAGGTTTTTTTCTCTTTCGTTTTACAATTTTATAGTATACGTATGTATTTACGTTTGAAGTATAGCTGATTATTCGGAAAAATTAATTTTATAAATGTTATTCGAGAGACAAGAGTTTTCTTCGTTATATAATATATTATTTATGTAATATTATAATATTCGTTTCGTCTTAACGAATTTTCTTTCTCGCGTAAATTTTTATTATGAAATTGATTTACATTCGTTGCATCGATTTTTTTTATTCTTAAATGTTAATAAAAGGTGGGAAACTCACGTTTCAATTTCTTGAAATGAATTTACTTTTATTGCGTGCGTAATTTTCTTTTATTCACGTGGGGAAAAAAAAGTTAAACCATGAAAATTAACACTGTGGAAGCACTTTTATGAAAGCACCGTTTGCGACCGTAAAAGCAAATATAATGATATTATAGAGAAGAGAACATTGTAAAGTTAATATTAAAGAATGCTTTTTAACTTTCTTTCAACTTAATTTCCCGCAAAGTAATAACCGATACATCAAATTATTTCGTTCATCTTTATTTAATATAATTACTTCATCGTTATTTCGTAAAGAATATTTCGTATCTTTTTCATAAGAATCTTTAAAATATAATTTATATCTATTCGTTTATCGTGTTTTTTTAAAGAAAATTTTATTTCGTTCAATTGATTAAATATTATTTGATGTCTTATTATTAATTATTATTATTAAACGATGCAAAAATTTTTAAAAGTTTCTTTTTTTATTCGATTAACATCTCCGATAACTTAAATAATAAAACAATTTTGAATTATTGGTTAGTCTTCTTAAGGAAAAATCGTTCTTAGATTTTCAAGATTACATTCTTTCCTGTATCTTTAGTAAATACATCAATTCAAAAGTTTCTTGCTTCGACTTTTTTCTGTTCGTATTTACCGACCGGACATCAGTTGGTAAATTGGTCAACTTCCGACATACATACTGAATCGGAAGTCGAAACAACGTCAACAGGAGGGAAAAATCAGAAATATATTCTGAATTGAACAACATGAGAAAAATAGATTTTTTTGAAACGTAGAAATAGAAATAAATTAATTTTTAATAAAGTAGAATCGAAACATGGATGATAAAAAACAATATTTGTTTGAGCATTGAACGAAATATTGTTATAATTGATAACATTATAATTAACATTACTATAAATAAAATGTACAATATAATAATTTTCAAACAATATTATTTTATTCTCGACTTATTTCAAATTTTTTTCTATTCCTCATTAACTTGCACCATATAATATTTTCAACAATCTTTTTTCCAACGAATATTCACTGTAATACGAATCAAAGAACGCGGTATCGATTCAAATGTTTAACGAAGATCCAACTATTGTACTCGTACACAGGGGCCGAGAAAAAAGGAAATGAGGTGTAACAGAATAATTAAAAGTTCCTTACAATGGACTTTCTTTATCCTACTTCCTTCTACTCTGTTCTCTGCAAAAAAACAAAAAAAAAAGAAAAACGAAATATAAGAATTTCTTTTTTTTTTTTTTTTTTTTTTTCACTTGCATTAAAAGAGAAGAGCCGTAGCAGCTTTTTAAAGTGCAATAAGGACACATTCACATCTCATCTCCTTTTTTCCATGTCGACCGAGCACATCGCACAATGGAGGGACGAGAGAGGACGATGTCCGAGAAGGAAGATACGAATTTTTCCACAGGTACGACGACCACTGGTTGGCCACACGCTCGTATTGGTAATCGAATTAGAAAACTTAGCGAATATTACGCGGCGATTCTATCGCAGTGCATCCTGTGAACCCTGTGAGCGAAACCCTGTACAGCCTATTAGAGCGCGTAACTGACCTACCGACCGATCGATCGAACCGTTGGACGAGCATCGTGTCGCACATCCAAACCACGAAACCGGATATCATTTCTGTCTCTTGTTACCTCTTGATAACCATTATTATACAATCGCACACGATACAATCCTCCTATCCGCTTTTGTAAAAAAAAAAAAAAAAAAGAAAAGAAAAGAACGTAGCCACGTAGTAATAATTTAGGCGCGTAACAGCATGTGACGCATATATATATATACATTCACATATATATATATATATATACATATAGAGAAAACTAGTTAGTTAAAATTAGCGTATCCTTATCGCTTTGAGTGAATCGCGATGCTCGTCTCGCGATTAATAGCGTTAAAAGTGGTAGTCGGGCAAATAGGGAAAGAGAGAGAGAGAGAGAGAGAGAGAGCGAGAGAGAATGAGAACGAGAACGAGAGAGAGAGAGAGAGAGAGAACGAGTTATGAAAGATCGACTGAGCAAGGGTTGTGTTTCCGGTGTTGCAGGATGCACGCGGTTGGATTGCATTCGGCGCTGGCCATCAAGCGTCAGAGAAAGCGACGGGACGAGCAGCGTCGTGCCCGCGAGCGGCGCTATAGCGCGCAATCGGGCGAGAGCGGTCTCACGTCGCCGAGGGCATCTACCGGTTCCTTGGATCATCAATCGAAGCACCACAAGGCCGGCCACTCGAGTCGCTCGGCCGGCCAGGGTATGTTGGACTCGAAGGTAGTCACGTCGGTGGGGATGCTTCACATAGGCGTCGTTTTCCTCGTTTTCGGCGCTTTCCTCTTGATGAGCGGTCTCCTGCCAGGCGATTTCGCCCGTTGGGGCACGAAAGCGTCGGGCGGTTGGTGGAACGAGTTGGTCGCAATAGGCCTGTTCGCCATCGTGTTCGGCATATTCCTGGTCGTGTTGAATAAAGTGATCGCCAAGAAGGAAGAGAACGACCTGGAGGAGTACGTGCAGAGGCAGTTGACCAGGTCCAAGTCCGGGCACAGGTTGGAAAGAGACGCGGAGACAGGCGGTTTGACCACGAAACAAGCGAAGAGGGCGAAGCAGATGCTACAACAACAGCAGCAGGAGCAGCAGATAGACTCGATCGAGACGCACAACGAGAAGAACCCCGAGTCCTCCCCACCCAGGAGCCCACCGCCTGCTTACTCCCCTCCTGCGATGAACGGCGATCACCAGGCCGTCCAGTCGTCCCTTTACCTCGAACAGATCACCGAGGAGGAGATCATCAGCGATCGCGTGGAAACATCGACCACCAACAGCTTGAGTCCCGGCTCGCCCAGCGAGACCAGGGAATTGTTGCAGAATCCTCGTTACTCGAAGCAGAATGGAAACCCTCAGCAGATTCATCGGTCGCTCTACGTGTCCAGGATCTAGATATTCTGGAGGGAGGGGTATGATTGGCCTGGTCTGGCTCGAATGTTTAATTAAAGGATCGCGAGGATCTCGTACGTATTGAGAGGGGAAAGGATCGTCATGATGATTGTGGAGATGATGACGAGGTATTTCGAAAAAAAAGAAAAAAAGATGGAATCGTCCGATTAATCGGTTTTCTTTGGAACGTGATTATCGATTATCGGTAATATAGGTCGATAATTTTTTTTTTGAACTTATCGAGATATCGTCGAGATCTCTTAACAGTAATAGCCGTTTAAAACGTAACCTTTATCCGAGAATTTCGCGTTTAATTTAACTTTCCATACGAGTTTCCAATTAAGAAGGCAGTCCTTCGCAAAGGCGAGGAGGAAGTTGGCTTTAATTGTTCGCAGGAGAAAATTTTGATTGAAGTGGGACCAAAGTTTCTTTGCAAACGTTACATTTCATTTAAAATCAAATGTAAAACAAATGTAAAAAATCGTTGATCGAACAGTTTTTCAAAATTCGAAATCAATATCGTCGTCGATTGATACCGATGATCGATAAATCGACACGGTTCACATTTATTTCGAGAGATCCTAGATGGCGGAATCAAAATCCGCCATGAAGTGAGCAATTTACAATCGAGATCATCTCGACGAAAGTGTAAATCCGAGTAGTCGAACATTTTCTCTGCGTTAATTTCGATCCAAACCTTTTTATTTATTCGAAAGTTTCGTATTGTCGCAATAGTTTCTCCGCGTTTTATTCATTACTCTATTCGAGGATCGAACAATTTCCTGCGAGGAAATCCGATAGAAACGATATCGAGTCTGGCTCGTCAAGGACAACAAGTTCCTTTTGTGCTTGTTACGTTAGGAAAAGTTGGACACCCAATAGAAAATCAATTTCCTCGACGAATTACACCGGCATTGTCGATTATGAGGAGAGCTCGATCGAGATCTCGATAGTTTTAGTTCAGAATCGTGGAAATAACGACGATACGCGTGTATTTCTTTCTTTTTTTTTTTTTTTTAAAATTTGCAATGTTTAAAGGTGAGTTTATGCTTGTTAAGTATCGAGGCGAGGAGATGAAAAAGATCGAAGAGGGGAAAGTCGAACAAAAGAGGAAGCAAAAAATTGAGAGATGGGTAAAATTTGCTTACTTGAAGCAACGAAAGAAAGAATTTCATTGAATTTGTGGATTTTATATATATGGGTAAGTAAATGATATTCTCATCTTATTGAAAAATTTGAAGAACGAAGTAACACATCGAATGTATTAAAAATTAAGAAATTTGATTCTTTTTTAAATTAATAACACGTTAAATTAATTTGTAGAAGAATTTCTATTCTCATTCTCTCTCGAAATGGATCACTCGGTATGATGCGAAATACGAACAAGTGTAAACCCACCTTAAGAGTGAAATCTTCCGTGACGATATTCGAAATTCGCGATAAGATTGCGAGTGAAATGGGAAAATTTTTCGTCCATTAAAGCTTCCGGTTAGAAACGACGATTTCTTTCTTTCTTTCTTTTTTCTTTCTTTTTTGCATCTCTCTTTATCTCGAGAGAGAAAAAAACTTTAGAGAAAGTTCGTAAAAGTTCTCGACCAAAACCGATTTAATCCTCGTTAAGAGTGTTAAAGTAAGCGCGATAGAAGAATCGATCGAGCTGGAAGAAATTTTTCCGAATTCTCGATATATCGCGTGGAAATAATATCGAGGATATTCCAGGATCATTCGTGGATTTATCGCGTGCAAAGGAAGTCGCCTTTTAGGCGAGAAAATATGTGCAATGAAATATTGGAAAGTATTGGAGAGGGAGGAGAGGGGTCGTTGAAAAAAGAAGTTGAATCGACTTGAAAAATATAAAAAAAGAAAAAAAAAAAATCATGCACTCAAGGACCAAGATATAATTAATTCGAAGGTTAATTCTCGAGGTAGACAATTTTAAGGAAGATTATCGCGGAAAATGGCGGATTCTGAATGGAGGGAATGTATGACAAAAGAGGGCGTACAAGATAATCGTAATGACTGACGATTTCTCTTCGGTGGAATCAGTGGAATATCAGTGAAATATCAATGGATTAAATTCATCTGGTTAATCATAATCTATATCTGAGAATTTGATTTAATAGACTCGTAAGAAATGATACGAAGGTCTCTTCGACGCCAACATATTCATTACTGTTTAAAATGTAAATTCTTAAGAGGAAACGGACCCGATTTTCGGGACTAAAGGGCCCTTTTTTCGGGGTTCTCGATTTAATTTTAGCTCGATTCATTCGAGATGAAATATGTCCTTTAACGTTTAAGAAAGTTAAGAAAGAAAGTGTCCCGAGTATCGATGCTCTGATATCAGTCATTGTTACGTATGCAAATTTATACGTGATTTGATGTGGAAGGAGAAAAAAGATCGTTTCTGCTTCGCAATTTTTAATTAAAAATTTCTTTACCCGAGTTTCGTTCTTATCGGGTTTTATATAATCGAATAATGGAGTTTTTAACGTGGTTCTAAATTTAATAACAACTTTTTTTTATCTCGTATAATATCTTGGTAATTTTATTTCATCATCGTCTCTCTCTCTCTCTCTCTCTCTCTCTCTCTCTTTGCATTTGACACGTTTTATCTTTTTCTATTTTTATTCTTCGAAGTATTTTTCTCAATCTTGCGTAATATTTCCATTTTTATAAATACGAATGAAATATGTCTGTTTCATCAGATTTTTCTTTTCTTTTCTTTTTTCCATTTATTCATTTTCTCGATTTATCGAATTCGTAACACAATATGAATTAATACGTTCGATTTTTATCGTATTTGTGTATACAAAAACAATTGTACAAATTATCTTTTTTTTCTTTTTTTATTTTTATCAAATTTCGTGTGTAATCAATTAACCAAAAACGATAATTAATGGGAGGATATACAATTTGTCGCTCTTCGATTTTCATTCTTTAAAATTGCGTTCCAATTTCGCATTCGATTGCATTACAACCAAACATTCCATTTGAATTAACTTACAAAGTCTTTAATAGCTTTAAATCGTCGAATGATTTACTTATGATTTACTCGCGAAAGAATAATCGAATTTGTAGGGAATTTAAATAGAATATCTAGTCGAGAGAAAATATTTGATCGTAGAGAATATCTTGAATCTCGAGCAATTTTTGATTTTGAAGAAATTTAGCCCAGAAATAATACAAATTTTCCATTGCGTTCTAAAAAAAAAATTTTTTTCTTTTTCCTTTCCTAAAAATGTCAGTCGCTTAAGGCCACTAAGACGCTTTTTCCATCACGTTATTTACTATCTACTTATTTACTTGTCTCTCCTCTACGCCTTACGAGGATTTAAGAAACGAGATTTCGCCTTAAAAAGCGACTAAGGATAAAGAGTAAGAGTATATACTTAACACATTCGAGGTCAGTGAGTACACAGTATTTCGCAGGATGATACAAAAACTTTATAAAATATAAAAATACTTTGCTGAATAAAATAAAATAATCTCGAATACTGGATCTTATTTTTCGTGTATTTTTTTATTTGAACAAAAATGTTTATTGCCAATGTAAAGCAAATTGATTTTAAAGTAAAATAAATAACACGCAAAGATAATAAAATGAAAAATTCTTTTCTATTATTATTTACATTGGTATTTTATAACTTAAGGATATATATTATTACATTCTAATTCAGTGAGTTTTACATTACAAAATCCGTTAAATAAGAAAGTACAAAGTTATATTAAGTACAAATGATGACACCTACATTTAATAGATTAAAATTCACCCTTTGCCTTATAACATCGAATTACGATCGATATATTATTATCGATCAATATCAATAAATAGAAATTAACCTCTTTGATACGATCATCGAAAATAAACACACACGACCGATTGTCGACTTTAGTATTTAATATACGCGGCAAGTGAATGTATCGAAGAGATTAAATTATTAAATTAAAAGAATATATTTGTAGCGATAATACAAACCAAAGTAAAAAACCAAATGATGGTCAAGTCCCTTGGAATTTATCCTAAAATCCTGACCTCGAATTGGTTAATATCCAAAGTGAGAGAAAAGACTGCGAGACGAGTTAAAAAAAAAAAAAAAAAAAAAAAAAAAGTATATATACATATAATCTATGATGTGTTGCAACCAAGTTGAGACATCTAATGTACTTGAAAATGGGCGTGGTTTCTGATATTACGTCCGTGGCGTGAGAAGTGACCTTGAACGATCAAAACATTTAGGAAGTACGACGACTAAAAATCGAAAATTGCGTCCAGATTCGAACACTATTATACATCTTGATATTTTGTTCGACACTATCCTCGATAATCTCGAATTAATTGCATTTACGCAATGTATATTATGTGCGGCTTTTCTCTCATGAAACGAAATAAATCGAAACACGAAGTTATACAGGTTATAATAACTTAACCAATAATTAGTGGAGGCAGTTTGAAATCTTTTTTGATGTCCCTGTTTTATCGATTCGGGATGTCCAGTGTCCAGTGACTGATAGCGCTGTACTTATTATTAAGATAGTTCGTAATTTTAATATGCTATATTCCATTTTATAATACCTTGGGTATTTAATTACATATGCTAGCTTTAGACGGCGAGATTTTCGAAAACGATCCGATACACGATCGATGTTTTTTTTTTCGTGTCGGTTGATCGGTAATTGCATTATCGATAGAGTTGTGAATGAAATGGTTAAATTCTCGAATAGAATATCCAACTTTTATAATATTACGAAATATTATTGAAAATAATATTAATTAAAATATGATAAATAAGAGTTGGTACATTTTGATCATAGAATGAAATGAAAGCGTGTATATTGATTTTTTGAATCGACCATTTCATATGCGACAATCTAATAATAATCATGTGAATGGAGCACGATAAAAAAAAGGTAAAAAAACAAGATATCTTTTTCTTCGCGAACAGCAAGATTTTCTATATGTATTCATATGGCAGGTCGTTTTCGAACGTCTTCAAGAAGAAATTGCCACGCTCGGGCGCTATCATTCTGTGATCCAATGAAAAAATTAATTAATTAATTAAATCTCATACCGAGAAAAAGTGAATAATGTTCTTTCGAGGAATCTTACTCTGTATATATATTGTATTATTATATATCTCTACCTTTTTTAAATTGGGACACCGTGTATTTATTAAGAAGAGAAAACTAGAAGAAAAAAAGGGAGGAGAGAAAAATAAAAAAAAAAAAAAAACAGCCAAAGAAATCATATGAATGAAAGAAGAAACAGTGAAGTGGTGTCTCCACTTTTTGCATTTTGCGCGATTCCAACTTTTTGTATGCTCTTGCAAAGCTGGAAGAGAATGAGAACGAGAAAAAGCGACAAAGTACGTATGAAAATATGAGAGAACAAGTTAAAGATAGAGAAAAGTGTAAATTGAGTTATGAGAAAAGTGAACTCAAAAAAAGAAAAAAAAAAAAATAAAAAAAAAAATAAAAATAAAAAAGAAAAGAGAAAATTAAACGAAGCGATTTGGTTCGATTGAATGTTGAGTGAAAGTGCCTTTTGCGATGTGTTTCGTAATTCCGTGTAGCTTTTCGGTGTTGAAGGGAACCAATTGCTTTCGTTTAATTTAATACGTATAGCGTTTCCATTTGCGATGATCACGATGAAATTGGGAATTGTATCGATAATATTTACCAAAGATTCAACGACGAAAGATGGAACGTTTAATTTTTCTAATTTTGTAAGTTTCGATCGATCGATACATCGATCGTTATGCACACTATTTTTTTTTTTTTTTGTTACGATATATAAGATGTTTTATAACGAATGATACAAATGATATTTACGATTTAAAAAATTTTCTTTTATTTACTTTGAAACTTTCGAAATGAAACATCCTATATATGTTTAAAAAATAAATCAGTAATTATCATAGTACGAGTAATGTCTGGAATCTTCAAAGGATTTTAAGAAAAACGATTTAAAATTCCTTGAAAAATAATTTGAATAATTACTGGTTCGTATTTTTATATTTTTATCTTTAGAAATTATTTACTTGTCAAGATTAATGATTCAAATTGTAAATCGATTGATTTTATTCTTCCATTTCATTCCCTCGAAACTGAAAGGCTGAAACCGCAGATTAACTTTAAATCATAAGTATACTCCTGTACTTTTCTCGCGTTTATTTAAACGATCTATATGTACATCTATCTTCTTCGAAAGGTGGACTTACTCTATATATCGTATCAGATTGTAACGTTTTTTATCGCTGTACATTGTAATCGATTTTTAAACGCACGATCTCCCGTTAGGAATACGTTAGGAATGCGTATTCTTGTATGCATGTATATTCTACCATTGGAGGTTGGAGAGGGCGTTGCAGTCGAAGGCGACGGGTTCCACGTTAATTTCAGGTATAAAGATATATCCTAAAATAAGCGGTACAATCACTTTTACGTAGTACTTTGTGCACATAAAGTGAAAACTTTGAAACGAGGAAAAGAGGAAACGAAACTTGGTGATTTCGAGAATCTCTTCGAAAAATTAGTTAAAATATATGAAAAAATGAGAATTTTTGATTTTGTTTGCATTGTGGGAGAAATAACGAGATGTCCGATGTACTTAAAATTTTATTTTTATTTTTATTAATCTATTTATAAATTATAAGTTATAATTGATGAAATAAGATCGATTTAATTGGAACATCCATACATTTTGTCAGAAATATTCCAATACACTTGAGTCTTTTCTCATACGGAATACTATAAATTTGTTTCATGTGTATTTCTCGCTAAATGTTTATATCATTTTTCTTCTTGCTTTTAGTTATTCATTTCTATTCTAGATATTAAAGAACTTGTGTAAAAATTTAAAGATTTTTAATATCTACTTGTCAAGAGGAATAAAAAATATTTAATCAATGCATTTTTTAAAAAAGATATTTTTATTTTCGTATCTTTTATAACGATACAATATTTTCTCTCATATTTTTCAATCCATATCGTTTTAAATTATTCATAAAATATATAAAGTCAGATTTGTCCTTTTAAATTATCATTAATACAAAATCGCCAATTTTATCAATTAAATTCTCGGATGAATTGATTTCATTTTTTTTTTTTCGAAACATTTTTTGATAAGTTTTCTTTTGAGCCTTTTCTAGCTTTTAATTACATTTGAAAAAATTGTTATACCATCACGTTTCCACTTGTTTGCACATTTTGAACGATAAAAAAAAAAAAGAAGAATCTATAAAAAGCCAAGTGAAGAGAAAAATCACAATCGGCATGGGCAAGTGCTCTTGGAAGAGGTCCTCGAACACGGCATATTCCGGAAGAAATTGCAAGGCCTTCGCGAAAATTCAATCGACCATTTTCTACGGCAATTTAAAAATCGAGGCTCGTAAAGAAAAGTCTTGGGATTAATTAACGAACGGACGTCGACGATATGTCATCCGTAAATGATTCTCGAGCTATAATTTCGAAAAGAATTCTCTCTGGTGATTCGATGCGAAATTTGTTGGACTTTAGATGTAAAATTTTA